AATTAACAAGCCACGGCTTGTTACTCCCATTTTGCCGCAGTTGCATAAATTATTGTGTGATGAGGTGTACAAGAAGCAACTTGTAAATTAACAACAATTCACCATTGTGATTTATCCATTGCCTTTATGCCAACATAACCATCCAAGAAAATTCTGGCCTCTCTCTCTATCTATAGAGAGAAGCTGCCTTGAGTCCTACAACGAAGAACGGGAGCATATATATATATATCCTCCCGTTCTTCGTTTTATATATATATATAGGGTATATATATATCCTTTCTTTCTCCATTGGGGAACTCAAGGTAGCTTCCGGGATGAAATTAAAACCAGATGCAGCTTTAAAAAAAAAAAAGACCACAATAAAATGCGGCATTTTTAAAAAAGCATTAAATAAGTCACTGCGTTAAAACAAGTACCACATGGATACTATTCAAAACCATTTAAAAAACATAACACGCCATGCATTAAAAAGAACGACTCCCATCTTTCTCAATGGTCCATCAGGGCCAACGAACTTTCTGAATAAGATGATCTTTGCCTTTTTGTGGAAGGACGAAAGCCCGGGAGCAATCACTAAGAGCAAGCCTTCTCTTGCTTTGGGGGGCAGCTTCTTTGGGTAAGACAGATCTTTAGGTGTTTGACAACTGCTGTCATCCCTGCCCTTGCCCCCAAGCAGCCTCCTCATCTCCCTTTTAGTTTTCCTCCATTGCTTGTTTTCCATGCCCTTGACCTTCTTCCCCACCCTTTCTAAATCCACGGCAGCTTGTTTGCATGCTTCTTTAAAAAGATACGGAACTGAACCCTGGGCTTCAGATGAGATCTGTGTAGTGTGGGATACTCATCTGAGAAAAGTGCCACCTGTAGAAAGCTAGCAGGTAAGGACATCAGCGTAGCCTTCTCTCTCGCCTGCTAATAACAGTTATTATAGGCCACCAAGTCAGTTCTGACATATGACAGCCCTATCCAGAATTTTTAGGTATAGTAGTACTTAGAAGTGTTTTACTGTATTTTCCACGTATAAGACGCCCCCATGTATAATACGCCCACCCTCACTTTTCTAACCCAAAATTAAGAAATCTAACCGGGGCTTAGCAAGTGGAGGGGGGAAGCAGGGATCAAAGCGCTGCAGGATCGCTTTGATCCCTTTCCCCCTCCACTTGTTTTTGTTGTCTCTTCAACTTACTTCCGTGTATAAGATGACCCTCAAATTTTAGTCTAAAGATTTTAGACAAAAGTATCATCTTATACATGGGAGAATATGGTGCTGTGTGCTTCTTCTGTGGGCATTCTGAGGCCATACAGCTGTCCCAAGGCTACCCAGGCATGTTTTTCTCTCAGGAGGCCCAGAACTCACAGCCTTTGGCTCCACAACCAGATACTTGAGCTATCCAGCCAGCCAGGAACTTTTTATTACAAAGGGTCTGTCAGGCATGAATGCCGAATGGTTTGCCTGCTGGCTCTTAGAAGGTTATTCTGTTGTGCTGTTAGAAGCAGCTATATTCTATTTTTGTGGTCAAGATCTGAGCTCTCTCTGGTTGTTCCTCCTGTTTTCAGGCTACTTATGGAGGAGTTGGTCAACTTTATTGAGCGGGTGCCAAAGGCGCAGTCTGCCTCGTTGTGGAAGAATAAGGAGGTACAAAGGTAAGGATCACCCACTCAGCCCCATGATATTGTTGCTTACCAGCTCACCCAATTCCTGTCTTCATCGATTGAGGCTAGAAATGGGCACAAATTGCCCCTTTGTCAGTTCCGGCCAGCAGTTCTTCTATGCTGGGCGTGGAATCACGTGGCAGGCTCATGGGGCCAGGTAGAACGTGGCCTATGGGGATTTCCTACATTCTGCCAAGAGTGGGCCTTGATGGCAAGCCCTTCTCTCCATGTGGCCCCCGTGGCTTGGGAGATTGGCTTGGGCGGTGGTGCTGAATCAATAGAAGTCATCTTGAGAGTCCCCTCGCCCCCGTCCTCAGAACTGGCAGATTGCACCCCTCATGGCAGCTGGGGATGGCCAGACGGACCTTCCAGATGCAGCCAGCTATGACTAGACTAGCCCTCTTTTCCACAAAGAGAATTGTATTTTCCAAGATAGTATCCATCTCTGATGCAAGACATACTTAAAGACAAACCCACACTGTTGTGGCACTTGTGATGACACACACTCCTGTATCTGGGTTTTTGCCTAATCGTTTGCCGCTCAGTTGCTGCTGACCCGCATAGGTTGCAGGAAACCAAGTTGTTAGCTTTATAACAGAAGGTTAGAAGGCAGTGGAGCATTTCAGATGGAAAGTTTTGCTGGGAGGTAAGGGCGTTGCATTGGCTTATATTTTCACCCCATTACTCTGGGCAATCTGAGCTAATGAATAGCAAAACCTCTAACCCTACTGAGGTGTGTTTTTTTAAAGTGATTTCTATTATGTTTACCTCCTTTGCTCTCCCAGATAAAACAATGGCATGTTCTGAGTGAATGCCACAAAACATTGGGGGGGGGATGGGGTTCCTTGGCGAACAGCACATGGGGGGCATTAAAATCTTGTGAGTGCAGCTACATGCAAGCCAGGAGCAAGGAGTGAGCCAGTTTTGTGTAGGATATGTAGGGCAGAGGCTTGGGCCAACGGGGTTCTAATCCTTCTCAAGCTGAATTTGAATCCTCTCTGAGTCTGATCTGCACCACAGGTTTCTTGTGAGGATAAAGTAGGGAGAGGAAGGGCCATGTGCACTGTCTTGGTTCATTCCAAGAAAGATGGGATAGGAAGGATTGAATGAATGAATGAATGAATGAATGAATGAATGAATGAATGAATGAATGAATGAATGAATGAATGAATGAATGAATGAATGAATGAATGAATGAATGAGAAGTGATATCATAAGAACCAAACATCCTGACTACTTTCAATTGAGGTATGTCACAGAGCTTGACATCAGGGGCAGGCCACGGGTTCAGGAGAATCCTGGAAATCATAGAAACTTGAAGTTGGAAGGGGCCTACAAAGGCCATGTAGTCCAACCCCCTGCTCAGGGCAGGAATACAATCAAAGCAGATCTGCCAGGTGATTATCCACGTTTTTCTTGAACGCCTCCAGTGTTGGAGCACTCGCCAACTCCCGAGGTCACATTTTGTCCTCAAAGTTTCTGGTGTCTATGATTTGCTGTTTAAATACCCACACCTGATTTAGGCCTTTAATGTGCCATTTTAAAAAAAGTGGAAGCTGGTCACTTCCTATCTGGGGGGGGAGTCTTAGAAGCCCCCCTTCAGAAGGCCAGGGCCACCTTCAATTTGTCTTTAAATGGCAAAGTTCTTCCTAGAAACCTCTAGGATGTGATTTGCCATGCGGCGGGGTGTGCCACTTCCGGTCCAGTAGAGGGCAAAAGCGTGCCCGAGATTATTAGATGTTGCCCACTGAGAAGGGCATGCCACAGTATACCCACAGACCAGAGAATCCCTCTGTTTCTGGCAAAACTTAATTTCTTTTTAAGTTACTCTTCCCAGAACCTTCCCCCCCCACTCTCCAGTCAGCATGCTTGCTTCCCAGGCTTATGCGCTGGAACCGCCGTTCCATGCGCTAGGTGCACATGGCCGTCTTGGCAGATACAATCCTTAATGCTTTCACGCTGCCTTAAATTATGGCAGAAAGGGTCACTAACCCAACAGATTCACCAATAAATTATGTTTGTTTAAACAAATGGCTCAGCGAAACTTGACCGATTACCATAAATCATTGGAAATGGGTTGGAATGGGCTTTTGATTTAGCATCTGTTTAATATACAAAATAAGAATCCTATTCTTCTTCCAATCTTTGGCACCTCTCACTGCCTTCCTGCCTACAGTCCCTTGTACTGTAAGTGATTTATGCTCTACCAAGTTAGCCACCCTTTCTTACAGGTTGCACTGTCGTCACTCTCGTTTATGGCTGGTCATATGGCATTCTCTTTCTTTCTTTGCATATGCAGTCAAAGAAGCCCCCAAACAAAGACTTTTCTAAGGGGTAAACCAGTTTGATGCTCTCGCTGAAGTGTCCTGAAATCACATATTTTTTTCCACAATGCCTTTGAGAATTCCACCTCCAAGATTTGAGCACGTTTCTCTGTATGGTTTCTCAGAAGGAACACCCCGAAACATCAAGTTGATGTGACAGTGGGGGCAGGCTGGAGGACAGTCCACATCAACAAGAGAGAATAAAAATGCCATGCATTCCAGAGATCATAACTCTTCCTTCATGAGCCAAGATTTTGCAAGACACAAAGGTTTCAGCCAAAAAACCCCAACTCACTTCCATTTTTGGCAAAGTCTCTGCTCGTGAAAAAGGAACGTCCCTCTCTTTGAAATGCATCACCTGTTTTTAAATTGTTGTTGTTGTTGTTGTTGTTGTTGTTGTTGTTGTTGTTGTTGTTGTTGTTGTTTGCCACTCACCCTATAGCAGGGGTCCCCAACCCTGGTCTGTGGGCTTCCTTGAAATGGACTGCAGACACGGATCTCCGGCAACCCGCATGCACACATGGTGGGTGTCTCATGCTTGTGGGTGGGCGTCTCGCGCTCATGTGCAAGCGCATGAGCATGACACACCTGTCTGCAAAGCGTGACACGCCCACCCGCAAGCACGGGGGGGCCAAATTATTATTATTATTATTTGCCACTCACCCTATAGCAGGGGTCCCCAACCCCGGTCCGTGGGCTTCCTTGAACTGGGCTGCAGACATGGATCTCCGGCAACCTGCATGCACACATGGTGGGTGTCTCGTGCTTGTGGATGGGCGTCTCGCGCTCATGTGCAAGCGCGTGAGCATGACACACCTGTCTGCAAAGCATGACACGCCCAGCTGCGAGCGTGGGGGTGCCCCCACCCCCCGCGCATGGAGCCCGCACCTCCCAACCGGTCCGCAGTCCGAAAAAGGTTGGGGACTGCTGCCCTATAGTCTTCTGTTGAAATCATGGTCCAGACTGATGGGAGCATCATCCTCTTACCTGGAGGTTTCTTCCACCTGATCCAATGTGCCCTGTTTTAGGCTGCTTCCCACCCCTTTGAAGGATGCTGTTGAAGTCACTACGTGGAGGAGATGCTACAATATGCAGGAAGTGAACTCGGCGCTCAGTAAGATCCAGCTGGTGGGGTATTCCCAAAAAATAGTGAGTATTCTCAATGCACAGGTACCGTATATGGTGTTTACAAAAAATCCTTTTGAGCTTTTCCAACACATCTGCCCTGTAAGGAATAACCAGGTTCTTAAGAACATAAGGACATAAGAAGAGCCCTGCTGGATCAAGCCAAGAGCCCATCTAGTCCAGCTTCTGCTCACCGTGGGCCCCACCAGATGATGCCTCTGGGAGCACACAAGACCACAAGATCCCTGTCTCCTGATCCCCCTCTTTCCCTGCATCTGGCCTTTGGGAGTCCCTTCCTTCGAAGCCTGGAGATTGTACATGGCTTGCAACCTGCAATGGACTTTTACTCCTGCAATCAGTCCGATCCCCTTTTCAAGGCATCTAGGCCTAATGCCCTCCCCACATCCGGTGGCAAGGGGTCCCGCAGACTAACCACATGCTGGGTCAAAAAAAATCTTTTCTTTCGTCTCTTCTCACTCTCCCAAAACTCCATTGGAGTGGATGTCCCTCCTGGTTCTGGTATGGCGTGAGAGGGGAAAAGAGCTTCCCTCTCTCCACTGCTTTCATTAGCTGTTCTTAATTTGTTTGGTGAGGATTTTTTCCCCCTGCTGCTGCTTTTCCCCACTTGTTTCAAGGTCACCTTTGTAATTTACAATGTGGCTGACGTGTTCAGTTGCACCAATCAATAAATATCAGTGTGACACCAATCAGTTGCATTCAAGGAGTTGTTTCCTGGAACCCTTTTATTCATTGTTGAGCCTCCCCTTCTTCTCTGAAGCACTTTCCTGTGGTTCTGTACTCCAGTTTGCTGAGAACACAAGGCAGGGCCTTTTTAGAGGCTGCTCCCATTCTGTGGATCTCCCTCCCAGGGGAGGCCAAGTTAGTGCTGCTTGCTATTGCCGTTCTGCCAAGAAGCTAAGACAAGGGACTGGTTGCCAAGAAAGGGCTTTTAAAGAGGGAAGTTGTACACCTCCTCTTTTCCAATTAGCTTTCAAATTCATAGAATCCTAGGACCTCATCCTGCTGCTGGAACTGCAGGTCCTGCTGTTATTGATCCTAGATTCATGGAGTCGGAAGGGGCCTCTAAGGCCATCAAGACCCACCCCCTGCTCAACGCACAAATCCAGATCGAAGCAGATCTGACAGAGGGTGGTCCCATTTTCTCTTGAATTGCCTCCAATGCTGGAACGCTAACCGCCATCTCCCAAGGCCATGGATTCCATCGTCTTACTACTCTAACAATTAAGATGTTTTCCCTGATCTTCAACTGAAATCGGGCTTCCTTTCACTTGAGCCCGTGGTTGCGTGTCCTGCACTTTGGGATGACTGAGAACAGACAAAGGCCATGGGATCCATTGTTGTACTACTCTAACAATTAAGATGTTTTCCCTGATCTTCAACTGAAATCGGGCTTCCCTTCACTTGAGTCCATTGTTGCGTGTCCTGCACTTTGGGATGACTGAGAACAGATCCTGCCCCTCCTCTGTAGGACAGCCTTTCAAGTATTCGAAAAGTGTTTTACACAGTGGCTTTACATTTGCACAGTTTTAATTCAATGGCTTTAATACGGGCTGTGGGTAATTGCTTTTCCTATTGACATTTATTGAAATGTGTTTTTATTTTCATTTGTCTCCCTGATATTTTGGGTGGGATCTTAAAACCCTGCATTGGGCGCAGGATAAGATATAAAAAGAATGGATGGATGTATTTGCGAAGGCTTTCATGGCCGTGATCTAATGGTTCTTGTGGGTTTTTCTGGCTCTTTGGACGTGTTCTGAAGGTTGTTCTTCCCAACGTTTCGCCACTCTCTGTGGCCGGCATCTTCAGTGTGCTCTGAAGATGCCGGCCACAATGCTGTCTTCTGAAGATGCCGGCCACAGAGACTGGCGAAACGTTGGGAAGAACAACCTTCAGAACACGGCCAAAGAGCCCGAAAAACCCACAACAACGGACAGACGGACGGACGGATGGATGGATGAGTGGGTGGATGGATGGATGGATGGATGAGTGGATAGATGAATATGACTGCTTTGTCTTATTTTTCTTTCCCTGTTTCCCTTCAGGAGCTTTTTGGTGCCATCCAGGTTTCTCCTCTTAGCTCCGGATACGCTCTTGGCAGCTCCAACTGGGTCATCCAATCACATTATGAGAAAGTTTCTTACGTGTCGGGATCCTCACTCCTTACAACACATCTGCAGGTACTACCACATCTCTGGAAAAATCCAGATGTTTCAGCTTCCACCCGTCCCCCTCCTCTATACCATGGTGCATGTTGTGTGGCCCCCTTCATTGTCCCTCCGTCGGGGATAGCGCACAATGAGAAACGCCAGGGCCGTTTCCATGTAGGCAGCCCGATTTTGTCATCTCTTACCCAAGAGCTAAACCTGCTTCCAGTTGTATCAGATGCAGGTGTACATCTGTCTGTCCATCCAAGAGTGCCAGCAACCTTACAACTGATTGTTCTGTTGGTCGTTTAGACCTTTACCAGAAAAACCTTGAAACGTGCACGTCATTAAACGCCTGTGGATGAGAAATGCCGTCACAATGTTTTAAAAAGTCCAGTTGTTTTCTCATAATGGCCAAGTGGTGTTAATCTTGTTTGCTTTTCTGTTTAGATCATCTGTAAAGTCCCATAGATTCTGTGCTCACTTGCTAGCTCACATCCCCTCCCCTCTTCTCTCTTTTATTCATTATTTAAAAGCAGCGTATTTCACCATGTAATCCTGGAAGACAATTTCCAGAGTGCACCTACATCACCCACTGAATTATCTTTTTCTTTTCTTGAAGGAATGATGGCTTAACTCCCTGTCAACTTGTCCGCCCTGTTCATCTAAGGGCAAAGTCTTCATAGTGCTATAGATGTAATTTCCAGTAAATTAATTCCTGCAAGATCTGGGTTTTTTTTTTTAAACTTATTTTCCCTTTTATAGCATGGTGGCTACATGTTCAGAGAGCTGAGGGCATAAGCAGGCAATCAGAACCACTACCGTGTTTCTCCGAAAATAAGACAGGGTCTTATATTAATTTTGGTTCCAAAAAAATGCATTAGGGCTTATTTTCAGGGGACGTTTTGTTTTTTTCATGTACAACAATCTACATTTAAACACAGTCCTGTCATCATCTTCTGGCTGCTGGACAACAGTGTAGGGCAGGGTTTCACTTAACTGGGGCTTATTTTGGGGGTAGGGCTTCTATGACGAGCATCCTGAAAAACCACACTAGGACTTATTTTTCAGGTTAGGTCTTATTTTTGGGGAAACAGGGTACCAAGTTCTAAGCCGGTTGCAGGGCCAAACGGAAAAGGCTGTGCTGATTTTCCCCCCTAAAAAATTCAGAAGTAATATAGTTGGTAATGATGGGTGAAACAGTAGGTCCTTCTCCCTTCTTTCCATTTTTATAGGATTTCAGTTGCCCATTTGCTTTCTCCCAGTCCCTATCGACAGAGTCATCATCGTGTTTTATAGAAAACAAGCCATCACGAGTCCTTTGCATCTAAATGGAAATCTCAAAGGAAGCAAGATATCCCAGCACCGTATTGATTTTCGTGATTTCACCACAAAGAATTGTCCCACAAAGCCAAATCAGAGGGAGGGCAGGAAGCACTGTCTTTACTCTGAATCGGCTTCCTAATGGTGTGAAACACCCTCAGGGCTGTGCCTCAAAAGGAAATGAGGGCAGTGTGTCCTGCCTGAAGCCTCAATGAAAGTGATGGGATTTTTTAGCTGCTCTGAAGGCTCTTCCCATTTCAACTTGCTGAATTTGGCATAGAACATTCTCCCCTACACTTAAACCTATTACCATCATTATCACTCCATTTCAAGTTTACCTGTTAAGAAGAAAAAGTCCCATGGAAAAGTCCCATGGCTCGGGAGGTGGGGCAGGGCCATCAAATGCCTTTTCCAAATGAGCTGCAGTTGTGAAAAAGGGACATTTCTCCAATGCCTGATATAAACGGCTGAATACTTCGACAGTTTAGGCATCTGGCTGCAGAACCAGAAGTTGGGAGTTTTGATTTCCCCTCGAGGCATCCTTGACTTGATCATCCTCAGGGTCCCTTCCAGTCTGCAGTTCTCAGATGAATTACGAAAATCATATGCACGCGCCCCCAGCAAGAACCAGTATTGATAATAAATACATTTCTGCCCCCACCATCCCCTTTATCTCGAAGCAGTCTTACCCTGTTTGCAGACTTTCCCAGCATAACACAAATGCTAGACTACAACTTCTATCATCCCACCTACGTTGCTGGTGACCTGTCGTCCTACTCCACATCTGAAGGGTGCCGTTTTGGGGACGTTTGCCCCCAGAGCACCCTTTATACCTTCAACGTAAAGCGATTTCATCATAAAACGGAGTGCTCGTAATGCGAGGCACCACTGTATTTATTTGTGAGCCTATTCTGAGGCTTTTCCCCCATCCACTCAAATGCACTTGGTTTTCATCTCTTCTTCTTCTTGTCCAACCACCTGTCATGGGCTGGGAGCAAGACCATGGATGAGCAGAGCCTTGGCAGAAGGAAGAGAGACAGTGGAGAGCATGCAGGTCTGGCGCATGCAGGGTCTTAGGCCTGCTAAGCCGTTACAGCCACCGATTGACCTTTGGCCGGTCACTCCCCATCTCTCCCCGCTTGGCCCATCTTCCAAAGTGGACATGCGGTCCAAGTAGTGTAGTGATCTTTTGCCCATGGATGGCTAAATGAAACTACCAGGACTAGAGGTCATGTGCCATGGAGCGCCCAGGGTTGGGAGTGGCAGGAAGCCGAAAGCCATGGATAGCTGGACGCCTTGATGGCCAAGCTTCCTTGACTAATGTGGCTCTCCCTTGTTGGAAGCACGATACCGTGGGCTTCCCCTCCGGCTATCGTGCTGGTCCTCGTGAGATCAAAATGGTGGCTTTTCTTTTCTAACCCTCACCTCCCTCACCCTCATTGTCGTTTTCAGTCCATGGACCAGGCGTCTCTGAAGAACAGCGATGTGCTCATCCTGACTGGACTCACCCAGATTCCCACTGCCAACCCGGACGGAATGGTGGGAGAATTCTGCAGTAACCTTGGTAGGTCACCCAACTGGGATTGTGCGGAGTGTGCCGTTGTCTGTGGGAAGGGGGTTGCGCTCGCTCACTTAGTCGTCTGACTCACAACCTCGAGTGGGAAGCGGCTGTGAGATTCCCGGAACAGAAGTAACTGCTTGATTCTCTCTCTCTCTCTCCCTTTTTCTGGCATAAAACTAGCAGTTCAGATTTTTTATGATGTGGCTTTGCCTTGCTCATTAATACAGTAAGTGCTTTTGAGAGAGAAGCAAGTTGTCCCTTCCGTCGAGGTGGTGGCGGCGGAAGGGGGGGGGAGACACTAGAGAAACGGTTTTGGAATAGAATTGGCATAATGAGATGGAGTCGTCGGCTCTCGTTCGTCCGCTAAGTGGACGCCGCCCTGGCCAACGCGCTTGGTTTTGACAAGGCTCTTCAGCAGAATCCCCAGTCACGAACCTGGCCGTTTCCTGTCTGTCTCCCAGCCGGTGTAAAATCTTCACGCCAACTTTGTCAATGTTCTTCCTTGCCCTTCTGTGTCGTCTGTCCTCTTTCCTGCACTAACATGGACCAGCCGTAATATTTATAGGCACAGTCATCATCCAGCCAGAGGGGCTCACGGTTTTCGGTCCAGCGAGGTTCAGTCTTCTGCTCCCCCACATAACCTCCAGTTGTGCCCAAATTCAGAAGCTAAGCAGGGTCAGCTCATGTGATTCCTTGGAGGGGAAATCACCAAGGAGCAGGACTGAGAAAGGATTCTTCCTGAAACCCCGGAATATTGTTGTTTCCATGAAAGATAACCCTACTCGATTAGCTGAACCGAAGGTGGACCTCCGACGTTCAGCTGCTCACCTGGGAAGCCAGGGCGCAGGAGGTCTCGTTGGCAGGACCCATGCTCTGCCCGCACAGTCTCCCGGGGTCAGTGTCCAGGTTTAGACTGGGGAAGGACAGAGCTATTTGAAACCATACAAGGGTCCTTGGCAGTCAACGTAGACCAGCCTTCCCAAAAGTGTCCTCTCTATAGGTCCGGTGTGGGTGGGTGGGTTTATAGCCACCATTCCCAACTGTGCTAGCTGGGAATGGTGGGCATCATCATCCACTATATCTGAAGGACAGTGAAATGGGGGAAGGGGTGGTGTAGTCAAAAGCTGAGCAAAGTGGCCCCACCGGCCAGGCATTGGGGTAAGGAAGCTTTGGGAGGTAGTGTTGCTGTTTCAACTTCCCCATAGTGCTAAAGCACTTTCTAGGTGGCTTACAACATAATTATGGAGGCTACGCATTGCCCCCCCCATCCCCATCCCCATCCCAGCGAGCTAGGTACTCAATTTACTGACCTTGGGAAGATGGAAGGCTGAGTGATCCTCCAGCCAGTTCTGTGAACCCTGTTGGGATGGAACTTAGGTCGTGATCAGAGTCTTGGCTGCACTACTGCAGTTTTACCACTGGACACAAGAGGAGGCCTAGTCAGTGCCAAGTAGAGGGAAACTAGGACTTCATGGGATTTGGATACTGTACTTAACGTTGATCTATCATAAAATAGCACTGGCCTTTTTTGCAGCTGCATTGCAATGTTGGTTCATACTCAGCTTGTGATCTATAACAATTCCAAGATTCTTCTTGCTCATAGTATTACTGAGCCAGGTGTCCCCCATCTTGGAACTGTGCTTTGTTTTTGTTTTCCCCCCTAGGTGTAGAATTTTGCCCTTATCCCTTGTTAAGTTTCATTCTGTTGTTTACAGCCCAGTGCTCAAGCCCATCCAGATCGTTTTGAATTTTGTTTCTGACTTCCAGAGTATTAGTTATCCCACTCAATTTTGTGTCATTACAAATCTGATTAGTGTTCCCTGCACCCCATGATCCAGGTCATTAATAAAAACATTGAAGAGCACCGGGCCAAGGACTGAGCCTTGGCGTACCCCACTTGTGACCTCCTCCCAGTTAGAGAAGGACCCATTAATCATCCGCCTATGAGTCCGATTCTGTAGCCAACTGTGCATCCACCTGACACTTGAGCTATCCAGCCCACACCTAGTTAGCTTGCTAATCAGGAGATCACGGGGGGCACTTCGTCAACAGATTGGCTGAAGTCCGGATGTACATTACATCTCCACCCTTTAACTTAGGGCTGAGTTTCAAAAGCTCCGAGCATGTTTACAGCATAGAACAAAGTCACGGCAGAGCTTCCAAAAAGCTTGGACTTTTATTTCCTAAGGATGAAAACACACTCAGAATTCTCGAAACTGGATTTTTTTAAAGTAACTCTTCCGAGCTCAAAGTCGGAGAGGAAGGAAAGGGTGATTTTTCGGAGAGATGTACAGTGGATGGTCTTTCTGCCCGTGGGCAGGAAAAAGGGGGCATGCATTTAGTAGAAGTGAGACACAGAGAGGTGTCTTTTGGGCGAGAAGCAAATTGAAAGGAAACTTTTGCTTGACTTCTTGATCTAGGATTTGCTTTCGAATTTAATCATGGTGTCTTTCCACTTGCTGAATCTGGCAGGCAAAGGAAAGGTTTTAGTCGGGGGTGCAACCTTGTGCCTTATATCAAGAATGGTAGATTGTGAACGCTGCCTAGTATAGAGAAATGTCGAGGAAGCCTATGAATTCCAGCAAGTTGAAATCCATATTGGATCGTGACCCTAGATGGTTAATGACCAGGCTGATGTACATGGCTGGGTGCGCATGTGTGCGTATCGTACCATAGTAATTAGTTTGCTGTATTTCTATGCTCTAAATTGCTTTTCTCCCCCATTTGAATTGCAGCGTTTATTTGGATAATTGTTTTTATTTTGGAATCTTTTTGTATCTTGTCCTCATTTGCATATGGTAATTGTGTCGTCTCAGATTGTTGTGGCCTTTGGCAAAGATGATTCAGCTGACCCCTCTCTCTTGACTTTACAGCAGTAAAACCCGTGCGGCCTTTTTTTTCCTCTCTGGAGCAGGAGGTGGGGGGGTTCGTTCCCCCAGTTTATAGCTAATAGAACCTCAGCCATTGTTACAAATGGAATTAAATTAATTTTCACTTTTGGAAAAGCTGGGACATGTTGAGCTGTCCTAGGCTGTGGGTTTGAACCGCATCCTTCTGAAGTGTGTTTGAAATGTTGTTGTTGCGTGTGCTCCCGAGGCATGTTTACGAACTAGATACCACGGATATAAAGGATCTTTGATTCGGCTGATTCGTCTAAGGATAAGGCAAAAGTATTTCTCAGAAGGGGCAGCAGCGTTACTGGATATCCAGAAATCAGAATATCCACCGCGCTTGCATTGGGAATGTAGCTAAATATTACTACCGAGCTTCTAATAAGGAATCGATTAGCTCATAAAGGGCCAAGAAGCCAATATATGCTAAGCAAATAGAACAGAGCAAAACGATAAAAAAATTAAATAGAACTCCATAAACCAAACTGGAGGAAAGTCACTTAGAGAAGCACATTTGTTTTAAGGAAAGAGACTCTGGAGTTTTTAAGAACCAGGCTGAGGTTTGGGGGGAAATGGGGCTGTTTGGGCTGTAGTGAGCTAAATATCCATTCCTGGGAGTCGGGACCACATATATTCAGGGTTCCGAGGTTTCTTGGAGAGAAATGGTCATGAAGGAGGGGTTCAGAGGCTAGCATTATGGACTGTCAAGTTGCTCCTAACAAGGTAAAAGGTAAAGGTTCCCCTTGACAATTTTTGTCCAGTCGTGTTCAACTCTAGGGGGCGGTGCTCATCCCCGTTTCCAAACCATAGAGCCAGCGTTTGTCCAAAGGCAATCTTCCGTGGTCACATGGCCAGTGCGACTTAGACACGGAACGCTGTTACCTTCCCACCAAGCTCGTCCCTATGTATCTATTCACATTTGCATGCTTTCGAACCGCTAGATTGGCGGGAGCTGGGACTAACGACAGGCGCTCACTCTGTCACGTGGATTCAATCTTACAGCTGAAGATCTACAGACCTTACAGCACAGAGGCTTCTGCGGTTTAACCCACAGCGCCACCACATCCTTTGCATGCTCCTAACAAGAGATGGGCAGGAAGCACCGATTCAGTGGTTCCTGCCGGTTTATCGAACAAACAGGTGTTTGATGTTTCAGAGTCCTGCCTCCTCTAGCAGCTGTCCACTTAGAGGCAGCGCTCAGAGGAGGCGGGGCAGGGAAGCTAGGCTGCTCCCTCCGAGTGGGCACCCTGCCAGAGGAGGCAGGGGTTTTGAAGCGTCAAACACCTGTTTGTCCAATAAATCGACCCACACGGACTGCTGAACTGGCAGTTCACACCCACCTCTGCTTCTAGCTTATAGCAACCCTATGAATTAGCGACTGCCAAGACGTCTGACAGCCCATTGGAGGTCAGTAGAACTTGACAGCCCCGATCAGGTCTTGCAGACTCAAGGCTGTGGCACCTTTCTTGAGTCAGCCCATCTCTCAGTTGGTCTTTATCTGTTCTGGCTGCCTTTCACATTTCCTGGTGACTCTCTCCCAGTGACTCTTGTCTTCCCACAATGTGCCCAAAGTATGATAGCTTCAGTTTATTTCCCTGGTGACTCTCTCCTCCAGTGACTCTTGTCTTCCCACGATGTGCCCAAAGTATGATAGCTTCAGTTTATTCAGAGGCTGAAGGATAGGAAAAAATAATTTGAAACAGTATGACAAAGGAGCACAGCGGCTAGTCCTCATGATGCAATGCAGCGGTAGAAGGAGAGGACAGGAGGACTGGGGAGTGAGCTTCCCAAACATACCCTTGTTTGTTTGCGTTTCCTTCTTCCTCCCTTTCCTCTAGAAATGATTTGCTCTCTGGTTCTCACTCCGGGCTCCCACCAGACCCCCCTGCAAAGGAGCTTTGCAAAACAAGAGAGCAGGGCCTTAAGAAGGAGGCAGTTATATTAGGAAGCTTGGCCAGAGTCCCATTGACTGGATTATGGTGGAAAAGACTGCATTAAGTGGCTGGTAGTCCCACCCCAATATGGCTTAAAAATAAGACTAATCCTTATCAACACACATGTGCGCATGCACACACACACGAGAGAGAGTAGGTTGGGAGTCTACAGTTTCTA